TCATGCGTCCTCGGACTACGTCAGCCACTCCGGCGAAGTTTGTCGGATTATTAGACAATTTGCTCCGGAGAGTCTCTAACAAGCACTACCACGCGGTTCAGCCTTTTGAGCCAGAGGCTAGGGGAGCCATCCGGGACAAAGCATTACACCCACTGCCTTAAGAGTCCGCTACTCAAGGTGGTGTACCCCACCAAACCCCCCTTTTTCGGCACGGGCAACTGGGAATTATTATTTGCCGTTAAGACCCTAAGGTAGTCCACATTCCCACAGGCCTTTAAGCAAGTCTATTTGATTTGTTTAGCTATTAACCATCAAGCCGTTGCTGCGTATCTAGACTTTACCGCAGCAAAATAAATCAAAACAATTCAGGTCCGTCCCACAGTGCGATTTTCAATTTCTGAACTGTTTCGGATTGGGTGACAAGTACCTTTCGCTAAAACAGTATTTCCTGTTTCGAGCAACGCTGTTTTTCCGGAACATTCACACAAGACCCCCACTTCTGTAATGCACCTCAAACTGTCTGGGATGAACACTTATAATCACACTTTAATTTTAGGTGCAATAACCCGTGGCACCTAAGGCGAAGGGGCTGTGCTCGTTCCCAGGACTGAATGAGGTTTTCTGGAGTTGAATGCAATTATTCGGTTGACTGGCTCACCTAACGTCAGCGTATCTCGATGGGGCAAACGGTGTTTCTTTGATGTGTTAGCATAAGCTCACTGATGGAGGTTATGATGCTGAGAAGTGTTGCTTTCGGCGAAGTTCGATAAGGTTGTCTCAATCAGGAAGCAAGGGGATTCCGGCAGATGAGGTGGATCCTCAGGTCGGCCTACTGACTCCGGATGCAGCTTGCCTTGGCGGCCACCCCGAAATTGCCTCTCATTAGGATAGTGAAGCGCGACTCCCTCAGTAAGTTGCTGAACACCATTTGTTCCTAGGCAGCACTGACTTTGACTACAAGCGCCCACATTATGTTATCAAATGGTCACCATCTGCAAACCAACCCAGTACTCAACCGGATCATGTAGCATTCAGCTAACGATGGTGATACGCAATAGAATATTTCCGGTAAATTTTAGGGTATACAACTTGGCCCTAGTCACTGCGTTGTGCGGGCACTAGTGTCAGTTTGCTTTCGCTGGGAACAAACCAACTGAAACGGGACATCCAACGTCTGAATCCAAAAGCGCCGGCTTGAGTTGCCTGAAAACCCTTCAGGACAAAAAGGGCCCTGGGTGAACACCGGATGAAAAGTGGCTGGTGTGGCCCCTCTGGCACTGGCCCCCACTGACGATAGCCAGTGTTAACTTAGTCTGTGTGTATGGCCTAGATAGATAGCTTAGATAGAATCCCAAAACCTGAGAACATGGCAGCTTTTATGCTTCCACTCAGTATCCATCCAGTCTCCCTCATATGCGCCTCAAGTAGCTATCCGGCCGGACCAGCTCGATACTGCTGCGCTGAAGAAACTGGTTACTCATATACCAATCTATCTTAATAATTGTAATATGCACGCTATGGAAGCACCAGGAGACATGTCCTCTGCAGTGATTCTCCGAAGGCAGGTGTTCATGACTATTTCTGTGGATGGAAAACTGAAATAAAGCTCATGAGCCAAAGCCCAGTAAGCAATACTTAGATATAAATCAATGAAACTGACAGACACCCTATACTACATAATGGATGATCACAGCGATGGGACCGATGTATAATATACGGACCGCGGACCAAGTGAAAGCATGCTTCCACGGATTCACGGATTGACGCACAGGGTCGAGGATTTTACCCAAGTTTCCCGGGTCGGTTTTGTTCTTGTCGGTCAGTGACTGTCGTTCACCTGAAATGCACAAGTGAAAAAAGGGTGTAGCACTGCTCTTTATGTTCTCAGCACGGGGCAGTATGCTTGCCAGCGCCAGGATTCACATAAATAAGTGTCTAATAGTGCTTCAAACTGGGTTCTAGAAGGAGCGTGGACAACCGTCGGAGGAAGGTCATTCCACGCAGCTACTACCCGAAATGAGAAAAAATTTTGTCTAATGAATGTGTGTGCTCTGAGCTTGAAAATTTTCTTACTATGTCCCCACCGGGTGTTTTCTGGTTCAACGGTAAAACACCTGTTTGCCAAGCTTTGTTCATACAGGGCGTAGGTAAGAATTAAGTACCCTGGGAGGCGACGGTACTCCAGGGGAAAGAGAGCAAGCATCATGAGACGCATTTCGTAGTCCACGGATTTGAGGCCGGCAACCATTCCCGTGGCGGCTCGCTGAACACGCTCAATGAGGGCGACGTCTTTCGTGAGTCCTAAGTAGACAACTTGGCTGGCGTATTCCAGGAGCGGTCTGACGTAGGCCCAATAGAGAGTTTGGAAGTCCCTGCGAGTAATAAGGGAGAAGGTGCGTCTGATCATCCTTAAAGTGGCGAATGCCTTTTGGGCCGATTTCTCATGGTGCAGTGGGAAGGACAAGTTTGAGGAGACCCAGATGACCAAATCCTTTTTGGCATCTATCCTCATGATGTCTTCTGTTCCCTTTTCACCATCCATAACAAAGGCATACACTGAGTCTCCTCCAAACGACATATGGACGCACTTTTCATCATTCAGAGGAAGGTGCCAGTCTTTAGGTCCACCCCGCCACCAATGCTTGGCAGCGTCTACATCCTTTCGGAGGGCACTGGCATTGGAACTCCAGGATTTCAAGTCGTCCGCAAAAGGTAGACATGAACTCGCAAGAACGTCTGGGAGGTCTTTGAAGTTTATCAGAGACAGGAGTAGTACTAAGACGGAGCCTTGAGGAACTCCAATGGAGACCGGCGCTGGAGGGGAGAAGGTCGAGCCTATTCTCACTAGGAATGATCTGTCTGATGGGAACGCCTTGATCCAGCGAAGGGTTTTACCTTGAATCCCGTAAGACTCGAGTTTGTGGAGCAGCGGGACGTGTGGGACCCTATCAAATGCTTTTGAGAAGTCGAAAAATATAGCATCCGATATGAGTCCTTCGTCCTTGGCTTCGGTTAGGCTGTCCATAAACACGAGCATGTTTGTCACGCAAGAACGGTTTGGGAGAAATCCGTGTTGAGCTGGAGATATCAGATCATTCAGATCATCAACCTCATTTTCTACAGCCCCGTTAACTTAGCGGTAGAAGGGAATGGGCGCAATGTTTTGGAGGTGACGGTCCGTGTTTATTGAATAAAAGTGGCCGTTCTTTTCATTATGACGGGAAGTAGAAGATACGCGGTGAGGTCACTAGCTATGACACAGGATCTCCATCGGCTGCGTGGCACAACCAGCCTTTCGGTACCATTCGACTGACCTATAAGTACTTTCACATTTATTTGTCAAGTCAGGGGATGACCGTCCCTTATCGTTTGCGTATGACATATAGACGGGAAAAGAGTTCTCTACGAGCCAAACCATT